TTAATTAGAGATTTAATTTGTGTATTGTTTTCAGTGGGACCACTGAAGTTGGGGTGAAGCTCATCCAGTCAAAACAGACTTTACCAGAGTAAATTGTCATCATCAATAGAATCACCTTGTTCGATTGTAATCGAAGCACCTGCTGAAATGACTCATCCTCCAACCACCTGATATGTGTTCATGTTAGGAAGGTCTGAAAGAGGATGTTAGTCAGAGATTCATTCATGTTGCGTCATTTAGGTGTGTGTGTGAGGCATGAATGTTAGCGCTGGTCAGTGTGCATATGTGTGTGTGTGTGTGTGTGTGTGTGTGCTGGTTAGGAATGTGTGAGGGTGTGTATGGTAGTGCTGGTAAGGTACCTTTTTGTGCATGTGTGTGGTGTGCATGGTAGAAATGGTTAGGTGTGTGTGAGGCTGTGTGTAGTATTGTTGGTAAGGTATGTGTGTGTGAGAATATTTGTGGCAGAGCTGATTTGGTGTATGTGAGGGTGTGTGTGATAGAGCTGGTTACATGTGTGTGAGGATATGTGATCAGATTCTCCAGCTTCACATAAGCTCTGTTCTGGATGCTGTCCAGGGTCCTGCAGGAGTTTAAACTCTGTGCTGCTAAATTAGAGTGGCTGCAGCTGATCTGGGGGCTTCAAGCACCCAGTAGGAGTTTCACATCAGAAGTGAAGAGCATCAATTTACATTCATCCTGATTCCCCTCGTGTAGATAAATGTAAGTAGGGCATTAAGTCTTTACACATCTTATGTACTTAGTTCATTTTATTATAACTCATCATAATTTAATCTGACTTTCCAGGTCAGTGTAATATTCTCTTACCATCCAGTGAGAGTCAATCTGAAATGTTTTAGTACAAAGTGGTGGCTGTGAGTCAGTCTGGCTCTCACAATGCTGGAGTTTTGGTGGAGAGAACACGACGACATGCAGAAAGTAAGCAACTCTACATTTTATTAAAAACACCACTCTGTTTTTGAGCACACATGTCTTATGTGGATAAATTCATAATTTTCATAAACACAACCCACTTATATTCATAGCTATGAAAGTATTTTAAATGGACATGAGACAAATATTAAACCACTTAATTTATTTCAGTCTTGCAGCTATAAATGGGATTTTGATGAAAAATGTATGTCCAAGTTTCAAACATATGTTATTGTCTCCTGAGTAGCTGAGCCAGTAAAGGTTCTACAGCTGCTGTGTGGAGCTCTAGTGTTTGGGCTTTGAGAACCATTTTGTGGTTTGGATGTGCAGTAATATATAGCGCCGTCTGTAAGTGGAATACATTCTGAAAATGTCAGTTTTTCCAGAGAAGAGGCTTGATGCCAACTTCTGATAATAAGACTGAATTACCTGACACTGTTGAAGACCACACACAACACAAAGCTGACTAGAAATGTTTCACTGTTACAGGCTCTCAGGTGCTTCTCTGATGTTACGTTAAACCAGCTTGGAACAAAAAATTCAGTGATTGACAGGTGCTGGAATAATAACTTCTAGAATTTACATCCAGTTGGATGTGTACCACTAATTTAGATTCTTACCTGTAAAGGATCTGCAGTCACAAACATTGAACTCAGCATTGACTTTTTGCTAATGTTTGTGTGTTTAGATTAGATCAACATTAACCAGGTCAGATCTTTTAACCAGATCTTTGTGGTTAGAATTATTGTTTAGTTACAGGGTAACTTGAGATGTTACAGCCTTAATAGACTCAGTAGACTGCAGACACTGTAACAGCCAGAGTGAACAGACTACTGTGAGGGGTGGGGTCAACAACAGTCTTTTTTCAGTCAGTTTTCAGTTTTCCTTAGTGTTTAGTCAGATTACACAGTGATGCTGTTTAATTTACTCAAAATCAGTGGTATAATTCCAGGTGAATGAAGTGTATATACCACAAGTTCCAAATGAAGCAGAATACTAATGATCATGTCCGGGAATGAAGTTAAAAGAGGAACAAGCGATTTTCTTCCTTGTCTTATGAAGCATGAGACCAGGACACATTGAGTCCAAGTCAATATCAAGACTTTCAGTGGTCAAGTCGGAATCAAGACTGAGACCAGATTAAGATTTTCTTCCAGGAAAAAAAAAATTGTAGCTAACTGTACATTTATTATCATTACTTGTACATTATATACACTGATATGCTATGTAATATTATATTTTCTGAGTTTAATACACAGAGAAAGCCCTGTTTATTCTGGTTTTATTAATATTCAATAATAATTCAGCTTCTAGTTACCTCAGACAGAGGCATTGGACTCAGCTGGTCTCAACAAAAATTTCCGAGCCCACCTTACACTGAGATTGAGACAAGACCGAGGACCAGTGAGGTCGAGACCAAGACTGATCTCAAGACCAGGACTGGACTTGAGAACTACAACACTAGTATTAACTATAGGAAAGTGACTAGCATAGCCTTAGTAGCTTTAACCAATGAGCAAATCTTTATCCTCCAATGTGAGTTTGCGCCCCTGTTGTCACATGATCTAAACATAAAATCACCCGTGTGTGGACCCTCCCCTTTATTATAAAATAGTTCATACAAACTTACGAAGCAGTTTGAGTCTTTGTCTCAGATGTGTTTATGTTATGAAAGAAGCTTTTATACATAACATTTAATTTTTTTGGTCATAAACATCACTTATTGTTTATGTAGAAATTTTGTAATAAAAATCTACAGAGACAAATAATGATTTGCTGATTTATCTGACTTACTAAAAGAACAGTTTCATAATTAAAATGGGAATAAAAGAAAAAGGAAAAGTGACATATGAGAAAAATAAGGCAACATGTATTAAAACCATAAAACCTCAGAAAATCTCATCTTTATGCTTTGTGTGACTGTATGATCTGTATCTTTATACTTTTTGTTTAATGATCAGCACACAGAGAGAAGAGTACAGAATCATCTCTCACACCACAGTAATAGATTCATAATAGTCATAATAGTCACACAATCATTATAGGCTTGTAAGTAACATAACAGAGAAGGTCCTGAATCATTTTCTTACAGTGTAAGTAGTAAAAAGTAGAACTGGGCGAAAGTTGACTTGAAGTTGAATTGATGTAAAATATCGTGTTTGTTCATTTAAACTAAACTTTCGCTTTGAATTGTTTTATTCAAAGTATTTTTTATTTTTGTTTGAGATGAAAAAACATTTAAACTGCTTGTTACCATTTTTTTACAGTGTAGCATAATATTAGGCAAGTAATCTTTGTGTTATAATGGCTCTATAAACAGTTATAAGGGGCTGCTTGATTCTGAATACCTGAAAATCGAAAGCTGTTATACAAGTTTGTTACAGTGAAACAACACTTTCCTGTTTCTGACTGATGATCTCTGATGACCAGAACATCTTTCAGTCCTTTACCCTCATAAATAATCTACAGTGAAAATTAACAGCGCTTTAATTTCTTCAAACCAAAACAATCATATCCTTAAATTATAATTAAAAAAAGAAGCTTTTGCTATAAAATCTGTTAACTGACTATGTTTATCACTTCAGATACAAAATGTCTTCATGAAGATAAAAAAAGTTAGATTAAGAGATCAAAGTAAGATCATACTCAGATGAGATGTGTCAGTAAACGATTCTAAGGTTGGAAGAACTCAAAAAAAGTGTTACAAATGTGCAATTTGTAATTGCAATTTGTTTACATAAATTAGGGGGTGTTTAAACCACTTTATGCTCCATAAAACATTTTGACTTGTGATTGTCATTTCTTGCATCTGAAGAGGTTTGACTGCAGTTTTCTGAGGAAAGACACTGGCTGTGGACTCTCTGTCACATGATTCATCTCTGTTGAGGCTCCTCCGAAATGTCATCATAATCTAGAAAATAAGTACATTCATCTCAAATAACATGTCACCAGTGGAGAAAAATACTATAAAAAATTTACCAATATTATCATGTTTCACCTCCCCCTCCCACTACTCCCCACCTACCATTGAGAGAAAGTGCAGAGCTAGCTCAGAGACCTGCTGAGAGACTGTGTTTTACTCAGAAATAGGTAATTATATGGAAGGAAATGTGTCATGTTTTCTGTTTCACATTAACTTTAAACTCCCATTTGACTTCATTTGTTTTGTTTTATTTCACTCATTTGTTAAACTCACTAATGAAGATCTAGTAACTCTTTCTATTTCTTGTATAATGCCTTAGTTACTTAAGTAAAGCTAGTTAAGATCAATTAATTTGGTTAAGTTCTATAGACTAAAACATCTTTTGCCTAAAATGCTTCTCAGCCTTCTTAGTATTTTGTCAGTTTTGGTTAATAAACTCTTATATTTTACATTTTTTATTTGTTCTCTTCACATAATGTTATTTTTGTGTTGCAATATATTCTCATACTAAATGTTAAGCTTGGATGCATTTTACATGTTTTTGTTATTGTCACCATGATGGTGTTTTGTGCTGAGGTAGCTGGTTGAGCTATTCTTAGGATATAGAAGTGGACAATAAAGCTTTGGGCCTGTCGGTGGTCCCCAGCCATGTTAAGGGTTAAAGTTAACTCACTCAAGAGTAAGCAGAACTCAAAAGAGTAGACTAGAGTACTGCCTGCTCAACTGAAGCTATTTGAAATGACTGGGCTGTTTGAATTAACCTTACAAACTGAAGACGTGTGGATCACTGACAATTAGAAAGTAACTATAACTCAAATATACAGTTATTTAAGCTTGAACCTGCTAAGTAACTTCATTTTTTTAAGGTAATATATTTTTTTTTAAGTTAACTAATTTAAGTGTTGTTTGCCAGGGGAGCTTCTATTTGTTAAATTGCTAGATAAGAGTGAGACGGTGGGGAACGCATAGTCATGTAAAAGCTGTGTGGGCAGGACAAGAGACATGAGCCCTGTGATTGGTCAGGCAAGATAGGACCAACGAAGTTAGAAGAAAAGAAATTCTGGAAAATTCATCAGGTATTGTACATTAGAAAGTGAATTAATGGTTATACTTTGTACATGTATATTTTGTTCCCTCAAGAACCAGATTAACCTGTAATCACAGGAACAAAGAAGAATTCATCAGATGTTTGTAATATTTATCTATCTAACTAACTCTGTATTAAAATGTTTACTGTGTATAAGAGGCCACAGTAATGACAGTGAATACTGAATGAGTTTTACCTTAAGGAGATTCTCCTGAAAGGAAGTTATAATCTATGAAGCTGTAAAAATACTGTGTCTCTGTATAAAGTTTATAATTTATGTGAACTCACTACCTAAAACTACGTAATTTACTTGTTTCCATATGAAGTAGTTTTTTCAGGTTGAATTGACAAATTCTTTACAGTGCAGCAGCATAAACAACAAGAGCGGCCACTCACCTTTTACTCCTTCTACATCCTGTTCAGCAGTGATGACATCATCATAGTTCTCTGGTGTGTCCACTACACCAACATGGAAAGATAAATTACAACACCAAGAAACAAACATGAGATGTGTTGCCTATGTTATGTAAAACTTACCTGTCATAATGTTGGAGTTTGGTCCAGCAGTAACAGCATCATCATAGTTATCTGTCATGTCTTCTGTCAAAATATAGAGATAAATGTCATTAAATCAGCATCAGTATCATCAGAGACTGTGTTCATGTTTGAGATTACAGTATTGTTACATTACAAGTCAAACCTGTTATAACAGCTGAGCTCTGATCAGCAGTGATGGCATCATCATAATTCTCTGCTATGTCCTCTACACCAAAACACAGAGATATTAAAGGATATAAAATCATATTTTACACTGTTTATTTGTCAGATGGTTCAGATATAATCACTGAACAATATAATGATGTAATACAAAATCATGTATCTTAAAAATGATAACTTTAAAGGAGAAGAAAAAGTATCCATAAATTTAAATGTAAGGTATTTTTTTTCATAGTTTTGGATCATTTCTATTGCTCCATTCATCATGACATTTTAACACATCATAAAGGACAGCAAACATTTTCAAATTTTATAAAAAAACAGAAAATATTTTTTGTTTTGTTCCTACAGTGACCGTCTGTTGTAGGCACTGAAACTGAGTACAACATCTATTTGATTATTTTATTAACACAGAATTAAAACCTCTAAATTGCTATTTAATTTTTACTTCTTTCTAAACTAAAACCCCAAAACAGAAACACACCTGCTACACTATCAGAGATCTGTCCAGCAGTGATGACATCATCATAGTTCTCTGCTGTGTCCTCTTTTGCTGATTCATCTAAATCAAATAAAAGCAGACTGACTTTACAAACAGTGCAGTCATATTTTTACATTGTGGTTTAATGTTTAAAGATAAAATCAGTTGATTAATTAATAAAGGAACTCACTAATCAGACCACTGGTGGTGACATCATCATAATATTCTGCCTTTACTCCAGTCAGAGACTTTGCTGGAAAAATGCAAATTTTATTACTTTCAAAAGTAAGATGATTGTTCAGAGAGGCTGAGAACTAGATAACATCTCACTGATCCTAAGATATGCAATGATCATATCATAACTAACATCAAACTGTAAAAAAGTCTTGAAAAATATTTTAAAAGGTGTTAAAAGCTAGAAAGTTGTAAGCATTAGTCAGACTATCTAACATATTACACAAAAGGAATCTTACGCTTTGCACAGTTTACTTTCACTCATTCACAGAGAAAAAACATCTGCCCTACATTGTCCCAACCAAACTAACAAAGAACTGTAAAAATCTCTCAGTTAAACTGAAATGACCAGTATTAATCTGTCTGTCTAGTGTTTCATTCAGCAGTGATTTGCTTATGGCTTTGGTATTTATTTATTTTTGTTACACGAGCACAAACTTGCATGTCTTGACTACCTTAACCTGCACTGTGTGTCTCTCCAACAGATTCATACTGCAACGTTGACTATTAACTATAAACAGTCATGCAGGAGTTCATAGTCAAAGCATGAACACATTAATAAAAGTTAATAAGCCCCTTTAATAAGCCCCTTTAGTGTAATAATTTCAGAAGTTCAGAGTCTTTTGTGAGCTACAGAGTGTGACACCATTAAGAATATGCAGGAAATCATTTCTTCCAGACCCTTCCTGATCTAGTGGTGAATCAAATCTATAATCAGAGGAACAAACTAAATTCACTACTATTTGTTATTGGGGCTTTGTCTTCTTCAAGAAATGGAATATCTTTAGAGTAAGACTCGATTGGTCAAGAGTACCAATCTTAAAACTGGTCCAAAATCAGTAAGTAAAAGTGTCTTTCCACAAAAGCAAGTGTTAAAAAGTACCAAGTTAAAAATGCTACTTAAGTAATAAGTAACTTAAAGAACTGCAGTGGAACATTTCAGTACATCCAGCATCTCATGACCTCAGTAGTCAGAAGTCTGATCAGCCACAAAGCAATATTGATGCTGTTACCAACAAAATATAAAGTAATTTAAAGGGTTGAACACAAGAAATAATTAGTTAATGTTAATGACTGAACTGTAAACGTAAAAGTAGATTACTTTCCTCACTGCAACCGTTCCTTACTGCTGTGTTTCAAATATTGGATCTACTCTCGAGCTCAGTGTTTTCATAAAATAAACATGACTAAAAGAAACTTGGGTTAAGAAACATGGATTTATAATGAATTCTCTAATTTCTAAACGGTGATTGTAAAATTCCTCAGTTGAATGGAGTTTAACACACACATGTTCTGGTCCTCTTACCTGAGAGAAGCTCCTCATCCACATCCTCATATCCTGAATGCTGTTCTTCAGAGAGGATACTTCCTGTTAGAGGAGAGCAGAACAGTCATCAAACATATTCACTCTAACCATCATTCACTTGGCCACTTGGTCACTGTTTCGGCCTTTCATTGAGTCACTCTGTCATTTACTCACTTAGTCACTCACTCAGTCAGTCATTTGATCACTCAGGCAACCATTTCACTCAGACACTCTTATGGTCACTAACTCATTCACTTACTTGGTCACTCTCTCACTCAGTCACGTTTTTGTCATCCAATCAGCTAATAATTCATTCACTCACTCAGTGATTTAATCACTAGATCACTCAATTGGATACTCAGACACTCACTCACTCAGTTGTGTAGTCACAAACCCAGTCACTCAATAGATCATTCTTACTAGGTCAACTGATCACTCACACAATCCCTCGCTTTGTCACTCATTCGGACACTTGGTCACTCAGTTGACCAGTCACAAACTCACTCTGGAATATATTCATTAACTCTTGGTTACTCACTACATAATTACTCATTCACTAGATCACTTCATCAGCATCAGTCACTCTGACACTAGGTCATTCAATCACTCATTCACTAATGTGGTCACTCAATCAGTCACTCTGTCACTCACTCGGTCATTCACTTAGTCACTCGATCTCACTCACTTGGTCACTTTCATACTTCATCATTGCCTAAATAAGGCACTATAATCAGTCATTAATTCACTCACTTGGTCACTAATTCACTCAGTCACTAACTTGGTCACTTACTCAGTTACTCTGACACTCAGTCACTAACTCAGTCATGACTCAGAGTCACAAACTCAGTCATTTCTTACTTCATCACTGCCTCAATTGGTCACTCACTCAGACACATATTAACCCACTCACTCACTGATTGTCTGACTCGCTCACTCAGCGACTCCTTTAATCTCTGTAATTCCCAACAACACAAACACACACACACACACACACACACATACACACACACACACACACACACACACATACACACACATTACCCCTGCTCTCTCCCTTTCCATACTTCCTCCTTCTCCTCCCCACTCTCCCTCTCGGTCTCTATCACTCACCCAAACTCTCTCACACACGCTATCAAACCCAATCACACTCTCTATCAAAGTCTCTCACACTCACTATCAAACTCTCTCACACACGCTATCAAACCCTCTCACACTCACTATCAAACTCTCTTACACTCGATATCAAGCTCTCACACACACTATCAAACCCTCTCACACTTGCTATCAAACTCTCTCACACTCACTTTCAAACTCACTATCAAACTCTCTTACACTCACTATCAAACTCACTATCAAACTCTCTCACACTCACTGTCAAACTCTAAGGCGTTCTTGATAGTGAGTGTGAGAGAATTTGACAGAGTGAGAGAGAACTTGATAGAGTCTATGAGAGAACTTGATGGTCACATTTTCTGATTGGCCTAGGGAGTTATCATTTAAATTAGCAGTTTCTGATTGGCTCATAGTCAAATACGCCTTTCCCCGTGCGGTAGTTCACTCTTAAAAACAGATGGTTCTTCAAAGGTCCTTTAGTAAAGGCAGTGGTTCTATATAGGATCACAAAAAAGAACTATTTGCATGATTAAAGAGCTCTTTGCATGGTGAAATGGTTCTTCAGATTGATAAACAATGTGCTGTAGATGGTTATACATATGACCGAAGTCGTTTTGGTGCTATAGCGGTCCGTGTATTTCGTTTTTTATTCTGTTATTAACAGCGAAAAAAATCACGAAATAGCTTTGTTTCACAGTTTCACAAACTAATAATAAAATAAAAAAAAGGGGTCGTATTTTATTTGTCGAAATGTAAAAAGTTCTATCATTTTAACCGGAAATAAACGTGCAGAGGGCACGTCTGGTCGCAGAAGCTCAGAATGATAAAGACAGAAAAGATCGGGCATGTTGAGAGGATAGGCCGAGTCCGGCATTTGGGGAGGCATCATTAAATGTAGCTATTCTATCAGCAAGAACTGAAGCGATATGGGGAAGAGACTCTACAGGACTCCTGCCATTTAACAGCGAAATCAAAGAGGAATGGAAGTCATGCTGCCCAATAATAATGAGAAAATTAATACTGTAATATGAAAGATCAGATTTGCCAAAATGAAAAATAAATAAAATTAAAAAATAAATGACTTAGTAAATTAATATATGAAGTAGAATTGCAAAGAATAATGATGAAAAATCTAAACATAAATAAATATACATAACAATTAATATATTAATAAATAAAATCTTATATAAATTAATATGTCTGCATTTATTTATATGTCTATTTATTAATTTCCCGTTCTCACTAATTTTTGTATTTATTTTTTTGTTGTTGTTTGTGTTTCTTTATTAAATTTTTTCTGTTTTACTATTCATTTATTTCCATTATTATTCATTTCTATATGTATTTATTTCTCTATTTATTTACTTCTGTATTTCCCTGTACTTATGCTAATAAAGGGGCTGTCAGTTAATGATGTCACAGCGACTTAATATTCCTATTGGTTGATATCAGATTCCGTAGCTCGATTGTACACGTCTTGCTCTATCAGCGGTAACTAAGGACAAGACAGTACAATAATGGCTGCTTACAGGCAGCAGACAGTCAGAGATCTGACACTCTCGGCTGATCTGGCTGAAAATGCAAGTACGGATTATTTACTCTTTCCTGTGGAGGCTGTGGGGACAGTTTGCTCCATTTTGCTGCCTCTGCTGATACAGAGGTCGACCCCATAGTGTTCAGAACTTTGGAGGAGGTTGTTCATCGTCTTTTTCAGCAAAATTCAGATCACCCCCAGACATTTGGACGCCCTTTTCACATGCTGCCTGTGGAAGCCATCGAAAGTCATGTATCGGCAGGTTTGTCTGTCCGTGACATTGCAGTTTTTTTTGGAGTTGGTGAAAGAAAAGTTTAATCAACTCTTCTCCTGGTCTTGATTGCTAAGCCTGAACGTGAAAAACACGCCCCTCATTATCATTTGAACGACGAAATACAGAAATAAATAAATGAATTAATGAAAAATAAATATTTAAATGAATTAATGAACAAAATAAATAATTAAATGAATTAATGAAAAAAATAAATAAATGAATACATAAATCAATGAATAAAGCGAACAAATGTTAAAAATATACATACGGAAAAATATATAAAAAATGGCATTAACAAAACAAAATAAAGTAATAAATACAGATAAATAAATATTAACTTTTAAATAAATACAGAAATAAATAAATTTAGAAATATATAACTGCAGAAAAGGAAATGTGTATAATCAAAATCACAATAAGAATATATACTTTATTTAGCTTTTTTATTTATTGATTAATTTACATTTTTTTTATTATTATTATATTTATTTTTCAATTTGGCAAATCTGGTCCTCCATTTTGTAATGCCACGTCCTCAAATGTGAACTTCGTTATACTGACTGTGTTACAGCTCCAGACTTAACGATTAAAGCTGTGCGCTGTTCTGTGTTCATATTGTTCATATGATACTGTGGCGGCTCCGGTTTTGGGAAGGAGCTTTAGAGGCGGTCTGCAGAGCTGCGATGCGGCTCCGCCCCGTACAAAGGGACGGTGCTGTGGTTAAATTTTGTTAATGTTGTTGTTCTCTTAGTCTAAAATGTATGTGTGTGTTATCGGTGTTATTATGTAGCCTCTCCCGTGTTTCCTTCTTCACCAACACACTCATCACTCATCTCCGAGTGTGGCACCAACAACCAGCGCCTTCGGCACATTAAACTAGACTGTCACCGCGAGTCTTTGTGTTCGGCTTTAGGTCCTGATGTGCTGTTTGTTGTGAAGGAAAAGTGAGGATTAACCGTTATTTACACACAGAAACAACCGAGATCGCGAGTGTAAACTGTAGTGTCCGTATGCCTGCGAGAGGCGCGTGCAAGGGCAGTCAGGATTCTACATAACCCCGAAAAACAGGCCAGATTCAGTGATTTCTGAGTTTCTTAGTCCAGGCGTGCCCTCTGCACATCTACTTCAGATTAAAGTGATTTTTTTTATTTGGATAAGTAATTTACGACCGTTTATTCCATTGTTGTTTGTTTGTTACTTAATTTTAAATATTAGTTTGTGAAACTGTGAAACAAAGCTATTTCGTGATTTTTTCACTGACAATAATAGAATAAAAAACGAAATACACGGACCGCTATAGCACCAAAAATACTTCGGCCATATGTATAACCATCTACAGCACATTGTCTATCAATCTGAAGAACCATTTCAGCATGTGAAGAACTCTTAAATCATGCAAATGATTCTTTTGTGTTCCTAGTTCTATATAGAACCACTGCCTTTACTAAAGGACCTTGAAGAACCATCTGTTTTTAAGAGTGAACTGCCGCACGTGGGGGAAGGGCATATTTGACTATGAGCCAATCAGAAACTGCTAATTTAAATGATAACTCCCTAGGCCAATCAGGAAATGTGACCATCAAGTTCTCTCATAGACTCTATCAAGTTCTCTCTCACTCTGTCAAATTCTCTCACACTCACTGTCAAGAAAGCCTTAGAAATTGATAGTGAGTGTAAAAGAGTTTGATAGTGAGTTTGATAGTGAGTGTGAGAGAGTTTGATAGTGAGTGTGAGAGAGTTTGAGAGTGATTGTGAGAGAGTTTGATGATGAGTGTGAGAGAGTTTGATAGTGAGTGTGAGAGTTTGATTGTGAGAGGGTTTGATAGCGAGTGTGAGAGGGTTTGATAGTGACTGTGAGAGGGTTTGATAGTCAGTACGAGAGAGTTTGATAGCGAGTGTGAGAGGGTTTGATAGTGAGTGTGAGAGAGTTTGATAGTGAGTATGAGAGAGTTTGATAGAGAGTGTGAGAGAGTTTGATAGTGACTGTGAGAGGGTTTGATAGCATGTGTGAGAGAGTTTGATAGTGAGTGTGAGAGAGTTTGAGAGAGTTTGATAGTGTGTGTGAGAGAGTTTGATAGTGAGTGTGAAAGAGTTTGATAGCGTGTGAGAGGGTTTGATAGTGAGTGTGAGAGAGTTTGATAGTGAGTGTGAGAGGGTTTGATAGCATGTGTGAGAGTTTGATAGCATGTGTGAGAGAGTTTGATAGTGAGTGTGAGAGGGTTTGATAGCGAATGTGAGAGAGTTTGATAGTGAGTGTGAGAGGTTTGATAGTGAGTGTGAGAGGGTTTGATTGTGAGAGAGTTTGATAGTGAGTGTGAGAGGGTTTGATAGCATGTGTGAGAGTTTGATAGCGTGTGTGAGAAAGTTTGATAGTGAGTATGAGAGGGTTTGACCAAAATATACTTCTGTTATATGTATAACCATCTACAGCACATTGTTTATCAATCTGAAGAACCATTTCACCATGTGAAGAACTCATGCAAATGGTTCTTTTGTGTTCCTAGTTCTATATAGAACCACTGCCTTTACTAAAGGACCCTTGAAGAACCATCTGTTTTTAAGAGTGAACTACTGCACGTGGGGGACGGGCTTATTTGACTATGAGCGAATCAGAAACTGATTATTTAAATGATAACTGTCGAGTTTGATAGTGAGTGTGAGAGGGTTTAATAGCGAGTGTGAGAGAGTTTGATAGTATGTGTGAGAGTGTTTGATAGTGAGTGTGAGAGGGTTTGTTAGTGAGTGTGAGAGGTTTGACAGTGAGTGTGAGAGAGTTTGATAGTGAGTGTGAGAGGGTTTGATAGCGAGTGCGAGAGAATTTGATAGTGAGTGTGAGAGGTATGTTAGAATTTTGGCCTAAACAGCCTCTCATAACTAACTTGTGGACTCACCCCAATCACTTCAGTCACCCTGTCACTTGTCATATGGTGTCTTACTGAGTCACTCAATCTCTCACTCACTTTGTCACTTTCTTACTTCATCACCGTCTCAATTGGTCACGCACTCAGACACATTCACTCACTAAGTGACTGGTTTGCTTGCTCAGTGACTCCTTCCTCATTCTCTTCCTCCCCCTTCTATCTCTTTCAGCCTCCCTCCCTCTCCCTCACCTCTTTCTCTCTCTCTCTCTCATACACACACACACACACACAAACACACACACACCTGCAGCTGTGTGGTTTCTCTGTGTGTACAAAAATTGAAGTTTTACAGGAATTACACAGTTTAACTTCAGCTGCCTAATAGATGCTTATCAGCAGAATTAACACACTACACTACATGTAGATCTACTCTAACTGCACATTTCTCTAATATACACTAAACACTCATTTACTGATTTACTCTTATTATTAATGCACTGAGAAATCTATCCAGAAGAAGTTAATGAAAATTCTGAACTGGATATTTATGTTAAACTGTTGAATAAAAATACATTTAGGAAAAAATGAAATATTGCTTTGGTCACTAAGAGTGGGCAGGTATGGCTCTATATCTCTAATTTAAGTATACTTTAGTACAATAATCCTCATGCAGAACACTCCATATATCATTCACCTTTTTGAGTCGAGTCATTACTTTTAGTGATGTGTCTGTGGTTAATCTCCTCATAGACTGCCTCAGTCAGAGTCTTACGTCTCCTCTTAGAGAGCACTGTGAGGGAGACAGAGAGAAACATGGAGCCAGTTCAGTAGAACAGAAGACTGATGACAGAGGAGAAAGGAGAAAGACTAATGATGTTTAGAGAATGTACAGAAAGTGGATTGTAGATGATCTCTGAAGCTCTCTACCTCTCCTGAGCATTCTGTTCTGGTAAAACAGCACAACCAGAAGCACTAAGGCCAGGAAGAGCACCGCTCCCAGAACCAGGAGAGACACTGGATAGATGGATGGAATAGCTGGTGATGAAGTGGTTGTTCTCTCTGCTGGCTGACCAACTGCAAATAAAAATACAGAGTAGAAATTGTACAGAACACTGAATAATCTCTTTAGAATCACTTAGAAAAATGACCTAAGACATGAATAGTACCTGTGGTGGTGGAGGTGGTGGTTGTAAATATGGCTACAGTAGTAGAAGGCACAGATATGTCTATACCTACAGAAACAAAACATTAACAATAAACAAACAAAGCACAAAATCCAAAATAATACTGGTTTAAGTGAAGTCGGTATTAAGAGGCAATTCTGATTCTGAATTTATAATACAATTTAAGCACTGTATATGACAAAGTAGCATTAGACAACATGAACAAAAGCACATTAATCCACTTTTCACTGAAGACTTGCAGATTATTAGAAATGGGATAAAGATGATCTGACTGGATCCAGAGACTTCAAAAGTCCAGCAGACTCCTCTGACCTGCACAGGTGACTCCAGCGTCCTTCTTGTGGGAGCAGTCAGTGTGTTTCTTCAGGGAATGAGGACAGTCCCACAGGTGAATCTCATTCCCTCTACACTTCACTCTGTTCAGCCATATAGGCCCTTCACCAGCACCAAAGACAGCACTCCCATCAGCACTCAGCGCCGGCCCACAGCCCAGCTGTCTGCAAACCACCTGAGCGTCCCTGATGTCCCACAGATCATCACAGACGGACCCCCACTCAGCATTATGATACACCTCCAGCCTTCCAGAGCAGCTTCTTTCTCCTCCCTTCAGCCTGAGAGGCAGGTGCTCTACACCACACATGGAGAGTCTCAGAATTCCAAACAATACAATTTACTGTAATATACTGAACTATACTGAAAATCTCAAATGATTTCCCAGAATGACAGTACCACAACAAATAATAAACCAGTACCAGTCTTATCTTACATAACTAACCTATATAATGTATAAGCATAATACATAATTGAGGAAACCAAGTTGATCTTCATTCCACAACAGAACAAACTGATCGTGAACAGTGTCACATAATGTAAAGCTTAATATATTCTTTTAATTAAGTTAGAGAACGTTGGCAAAAAAATAAATAAATAAAAGTAGATAACTGAAAATAATGTTCTTACTTGAACACTTTTTCTGGTAGAGAGGTGAAGAGCATATCTCAAGAGTGTGTGGCTTGGTTTGGTCTGCCATGACAAAAAAAAAAAATTATAGATTATTATCAATTACTGATTATATCATGAGCTGTATTTCATGAAAAAGTCCTTATGAAATGTTTTTGGTTATGCCAATGCATAAATGCACTATAATTTGTAGAAAGGAACTGCCTACTTGAGCAGGTAATATGAGCCACTTCATTACGATTATCACAGTTGTTCTGTCTCCAGGGTGAAGTTGGACAATGCCACAGAGTGGAGTCATGTTTCCTACATTTCAGATAATCCAGCCAGTTAGGAGCTGATTCCACTCTTGCTCTACTCCAGGACTCACTGCCAGATCTACCACAGTTCAGCTCTTGACAAACCACACTTGCTGTTTCTTCATCCATATAATTTACACACACATTACCCCAGGTTCCATTGTAGAACACTTCCAGATTCCCCTCACAGCCCTCAGTGAGTCTGAACTCTTTAAACTCTGGTGGGAGAAGAATGACTTTACTTTAAATGAATACCGTGCTACACAGTATTTCTTCTAGGATTACCTAATCTTAAAAATATACTACTTTAAAAGTTTTAAATGTTCTACTTTGAATGTCTTTTGAACACATATTGTCACCTGAAATGAATATCAGTGGTCTGAAATGTGCTGTATATATCCTTATAACATATTCAAAGACTGCATAACTCTTAATGATTATCAGCTTCAGGATTATCCATCAGCTACAGACAGATCATTTTAATTACACAAGAGTGAAACAGAAAAAAATAACACTCTATTTTAAGTAAACTTATTTTAGTAGAATTTGCCAAAATTAGTTCTAAAAGAAAATACAACTGAACATATGTTTCTTTTTACTGGTACTGCTTCGTTTGTGTTATAAAAAAGGTACAAGCTTTAACTATTTTTCAGCCACAGCTACCTAGGTCTGAATGCTATATGGAACTGATGTGATTTCTTTGGTACCTTATAGCTGTTAGAGTGGAGAAGCACGATACTGACTAGCTGCTGTTTTTCCTTTGATTATACTCAAACAGGTATGCAAATTTTGCTGTTTTATTGTACTACCAAATAAGCTGAGCTGTTTAATACTGAAAAAGTTGAGTCTATGTCGTAATGATTCATATTGTAATTGCTGCAAGTTCAGTCCGGTTTTGCCACTGAAGATATATGCTGTTAGAGTGGAGAAGCATAATACTGATTAGCTGCTGTATTTCCTTTGTTTATACCCAAACAGGCTCTAGCAGATGTGACTCTAGTAAAAGCTCAGAACCAACTTCTTGTTGCAGTTGCTTAATTGAGGGACCAGAACAGCGGGATTACAAGAGCATGTAACACATTTTACCTGAGCACACGACTCCTACGTCCTCCTTGTGTCCACATTCATCCTCTCCACACAGCTGAAATCTGCAGTTCCACAGGGATGTCTCGTTCCCCTCACACTCCACCTCATTCAGCCATATGCGTCCAGTTCCAGGTCCAAACCAGGCTGGTACCGGAGCACTGAGGGCAACTCCACACTGCAGCTGTCTGCAGACTGCCTGCGCATCCTTAATATCCCACAAGTCATCACACACTGTCCCCCATGAGCCGCTGTGGAAAACCTCCAGCCTTCCTGCACAGTCTCCCCCAGAACCAACCAGCCTGATGGAGCTGTGAGCTGATTTAAACTTACCTACACAAAAAAAAAAACAAAAAACAAACAAACAAAAAACATACATACATCCACACACACAAGGCAGTTAAATTATTCTTACATCATATCTGTGTGGTCCTCATTACACTGGTCTTTGACATAAGGAAGAAAGTTGGTGAAAATCATTTGACTTTGAATAATAAAGGATTAAAATATATTTTGGTAAAATATTTTATATTTTACAGATATTTTATTTATTTGTTTGCCACTTTTGATATTTAGCTGCAATATTTTTTACCAGAGCAGGTGATTGAGAGCTGCTCTCTGGAGCTGCAGTTGACTGCTTGTGCGCTGCTGCAGTTTCCCAGATGAGCTTCACTCCCAGAACAACTAAAACCTGTCACACACATGTGTCTGTGTTCAGGACTGGATGGAGAGGAGCTGGAGAAGCTGAACACAGAGCTACAGCCCAGCTGTCTGCAGACCACAGAGGCCTCAGACTCACTCCAGGAGTCCAGCAGAACTCTCCTCCAGTCCTGCCTGAAGTACACCTCCACCTCCCCCTCACACTCCATCCCTCCAGACAACCGCACTCGCCCCTCATGAATTGCCAGAGAGGAATCTGAAGAAGAAAAAATATCACTTAACTAAAATACTTTCTATTTGACTGAGGGAACCTTAAACTTAAACAGGCATTTTTTGAGATGGACACCATGATTCTAAGAGCTCACCACTGCAGATGACTCCAACATCCTGTTTATGAGAGCATGCAGTTCGACTCCATGATGAAATGGGACATTTTGACAGTTGTGTTTCGTTCCCCTGACAATCAAACACATCAGCCCAGAACCGGCCACTCCCCTCCCCATACCAGTCTGACCCCAACACAGCCACAGCACTCCCACACTTCAGCTGACCACAGAGGACACTGGCAGCTCTCATATCCCAGCTTACATCACACACTGTGCCCCACTCACTGAGGTACTGGAGCTCCACTCGACCAGAACAGGAGTCAGAGCCGTTCACCAGTCGAGCCTGAGTGTGACCTGAATCAGTATCACATTATAGAAGTATACATGTATGAGGGTAGTTCAGTACCATTTATTGCGACAAGCAGCAGCAAAGCTTACTGATAATTTTACATAATTAATCTCATATCAATTAAACTCAATCATAAATTAATACTTTTACCGGCACACACCAGTCCCACATCACTGTCATGGGTGCAGTTGTGTTTGAGTGAAGATGATATTGGACAGAAGGAAATCTGAGATTCGTTGCCTCTACACTGAAGCTCCTCTGACCACACCTGACCCTCCCCTCTGCCAAAAGCAGCTGCTCCCAGCACCTTCACAGGAAGCCCACAGCCCAGCTCTCGACACACAACCTCTGCATCCTGCTGGTCAAAGTCAGCATCACACACCGTGGATGAGGTAATTCCATTAAGCACCTCCACTCTCCCAGAGCACAAGTGGAAACCATCAGTAAGTCTGGACTTCCTCTGACCTGAAAAAAAAGAAGTGGATTTACATAAACTTTACGTTTGGTAAAAAGTGAAACTAGTATGTAACAGGGGATCTTAAACTTTTTGGGTTTGGGTATACCCTATTGCAAGATTTTTTCAGACACTCCCCCTCCCCCTCATTCCAAATTAGTTTTTTTGTTTTTCTTTAAAAAAAGTGATATTGACACTCAAGGGAAAAAAAAACAAGTTTGTGGTTTGCCTTCAGCAGACACATTTGGTTGACTGTTATGCAGTCTTAAGATAGATTCAGATAAAAAGAAAGCTCACTCCTTTACTTTAGCTAATACGAGATATTTGGCTAAAATTTCCAAATGGAATTAGTGATACAGTTGTCCGTATGGTCTAACTAGTAAAACAAACTGACTGAAAGATGTAATCATATAAAAAAGAGTCTTTTGATAACATTTTGGTACAGCTTATGTGTAGTAGAAGGTTTATAAAAAACTATGAGTGCACAGTCCAAATAGGAAGGTGGAGTCTTTTCTATGTACTGTCAGTTTTCTAAGTTTCATTTGAGTGATATGCCAGACATTGCAATCAACAGCAGAGAAAATGTGTGTTGAGAGAAGTGTTAGGCACAATATCACTTTTGCCCTAAAATTAGTCAAGAATGTATATTATCATCAACTCATTCATTTCAAATTAGGCTACTTTGTTATTTTATTATTGCTATTTTTCACATGTCTCAAATCTTCCACAGCAGCACCCCACTTGAGAGCCAATGATGACAAAGATCCAAGTTGATGTCAGTCAAAATTTTTGGAAAATCTGATATTATGGCAACGATGATATTAAGCATATATTCATTCATGGAAGCAATTCATTCATGACTAACTGCAGCTTACCTGAGCAGATGACTCCGGCATCTAAACCATGATGACATAAATGTTTACCCCATCCCCATGATGTACAGTTCTTCACTGTAGACTCTGATCCACTACAGTCCACTTCATTCATCCAGATTGGTCCTGATCCTGGTCCAAAGTGAGCTCTGCTCAGTGCAGCTACAGCCTCTCCACAGCCCAGCTCTCTACATACCACTGCAGCATCTCTCATATCCCACTTATATTCACACACTGTTCCCCACTGTCCTCTATGAAGAACCTCCACTCTCCCAGCACAGCGACTGCCACCATTCACCAACCTCACACTGTCTGTACAACAGAAGGCAGAAGAGACAGATATTAATACTGGTGTGTGAAACTAGCTACAGAGAGAGAGAGAGAGAGAGAGAGAGAGAGAGAGAGAGAGAGAGAGAGAGAGAGAGACGACATTTAGTACATTAAGTAAGAGCCTGCAGGATTAATTGATGTTGATGTCCCTCTTACCAGCACACACCAGTCCCACATCACTGTCATGAGTGCAGTTGTGTTTGAGTGAAGATGATGTTGGACAGAAGTATATCTGAGATTCGTTGCCTCTACAATGAAGCTCCTCTGACCACACCTGACCCTCCCCTCTGCCAAAAGCAGCTGCTCCCAGCACCTTCACAGGAAGCCCACAGTCCAGCTCTCGACACACAACCTCTGCATCCTGCTGGTCAAAGTCAGCATCACACACTGTGGACCAGGTCTCTCCACGAAGCACCTCCACTCTCCCAGAGCAGTGAGAACCACCAACCAGCCTGACTCCTAATACATTTTAATGTGAAAACAGAGATTATGCCGCTTTTGATAAAGTGTATAATATAATAAATAAAAAATATATATATTTCATTAAATTATACAATAGGTGTGCATGTTTTCCCAAAAACATACGGTTCTAAAGAAAAAAATACATTAGACAAATTTTATTTTAAAGCTTTAAGAAATGGAAGTGTGAAAATTTAATAACAATTTCAGAAATGCTGATGATCATTATTAAAAAGCATGCCAAATAGAGGCTATTAAATGAAATATTAATGGTAAAATTAATTAATATCTTTAAATAGATTATTGAAATTCAGAAAAGCCTACCTACACAGGAGACTCCAGCATCTTTAGAATGGTTACAGTTATGTTTACCCCATCCTACTGATCTACAGTTCTTCACTGTAGATTCTGATCCACTACAGCCCACATCATCCATCCAGATTGGTCCTGATCCTGGTCCAAAGTGAGCTCTACTCAGTGTATCTACAGCCTCTCCACAGCCCAGCTCTCTACACACCACTGCAGCATCACTGATATCCCAATTATCATCACACACTGTTCCCCACTGATCATCATGAAGAATCTCCACTCTCCCAGCGCAGCGACTGCCACCATCCACCAACTTCACTGTCCCTGTACAACAGAAGGCAGAAAAGACAGATATTTATGCATGTGCCCGTAAATACCTGAAGAACAGGAAGGTTCGAAAGGTTTTTTCCCCACATCTCCAGTCATGAGATCCAAAGTGGAAGAAGCAACTGCAAACGCTACCAGAGATAATATAAAGTCTTTGATGGTGTTCAGACCAGTTCTGACTTTTTCAGATGTACAGATATGCAATACACATACCAGGCTAATTGAGCTATTATACATAAGTGAGAGTTTGTGCAACAACAAAATATGTGAGTGTTAATGAGGGCAATGAACAGATTATGCCAAAATGTAAGCTTCATAATTTAATCACTGCTCTGAAAAGCGATACAGAAAAGGAGGACAAGCACACAAAGGGAGACAGAGAGTGTGTGTGTGTGAGAGAGAGAGAGAGCAAAATGTAAATCATTAGTATATATCAAAACGAAATTGAAACTATAAACTGATTTAATACACAGGCTTCAACATGTATGTAAAGTTAAAGATAAATTAGAAAATAAGTGGCACATAATTTACTTAACAGAATTAATCTGTGTAACTGAAGTCGAACCAGTTATGGAACAGTAGCAGAGGGGAATAATCAGAGCCTTCTAGGCCTTCAGAGAAGGCCTATGATTTCTAGGAACCAAAAATGTATGCCTGTAATTTTTAGTTACCTTTTATTAAAAACCAACATGCTTTTATTGAATCTCTGCCAGTATTACAGCACTGCTCTTATCACAAAATGTCATGGTAGACGTCCTGGAAATCCTAGATACATCACTGACTGAATTCAAGCAGCAGATTAAATCATGGGGTTGTTAGAAACAGAAAACAACGACAGCAGCTCTATATTGAGCTCACTACTAAAAGAGTCACTGCTACAAGACAAACATATAGTAATAGATCTGTCACAAGCTTCAAGTAAAATATATAAATGTCTTTTTTAAGCTTCAAATGTCTGCTTAATCTAGAACTATCTTTTTGACCTTTATCTCCTATCTTAAATGGTACAGCAGTTACATTCTGCCACCAATTAATTTTATGTTCCATTTTAAATGGAGCAGCAGTCACATTCACGTGCCAAAATTCAGAGTATTTATGGAAGAAAGTAGTGTTGGAAAATGATTAAAGGAAAAGAAAGGGACGTAACAAGTATTACGGGTGGTTAAAAAAGTGAGCAATGAAGTGATGAACAACACAAAGGAGATTAGAATTTGGCAGTTAGTGTAATATACATATTCTGCAGTTGGTTTATTCTCTACATAAAATAAGTCACAATTCTGCAAAAATAAAATGATCCTGGTTATGGGCCTGTTTATGCATAGAGAAACACAGAATATGACAGAATAAGCATGTGCTAAACATCATAATGAACACATCAGTCAGAGAATACAATACCAATTAGTGAAGATGTCCTTCTTACCAGCACACACCAGACCAACATCACTGTCATGGGAGCAGTTGTGTTTGAGTGAAGATGATGTTGGACAGAAGTATATCTGAGATTCATTGCTTCTACACTGAAGCTCCTCTGACCACACCTGACCCTCCCCTCTGCCAAAAGCAGCTGCTCCCAGCACCTTCACAGGAAGCCCACAGCCCAGCTCTCGACACACAACCTCTGCATCCTGCTGGTCAAAGTCAGCATCACACACTGTGGACCAGGTCTCTTCGTGAAGCATCTCCAGTCTCCCAGAGCAGTGAGAACCACCAACCAGCTTGATTCGTTCTAAAATATCAACATGAGAGAATAGAGATTATATAAAACAAACATTTATGATTGACAGTAAAGTTTTTTAATGTGCTTTTCCATTTTGGGATCACCCAGACATCAGAATCTTTAGGTTGTCACTACACAGAAAAATACATCATCTATTACTCATCTATAAGTTTTCATGTTTAGAAAAATCTCTAATAAATGTCTGTTTTATTAAATGTGTTTGATGTCCGAAACTGTTTTTCTTTGACACCAAAAATGTAAGTGGTTATGTAGTGATGAGTACCTGAACAAATGACTCCAGCATCTTTATTATGATGACAGTAATGTTTACCCCATCCTAGAAAAATACAGTTCTTCAGTGTAGACTCTGACCCATTACAATGCACATAATTCATCCAGATTGGTCCTGATCCTGGTCCAAAATAAGCATTATTCAGTGCATGTAGAGCCTCCCCACATCCCAGCTCTCTACACACCACTGCAGCATCACTCGTATCCCAGTAATCATCACACACTGTTCCCCATTGTCCTCTATTCAGAACTTCCACTCTCCCAGCACAGCGACTGCCACCATCCATCAACCTCACACTGACTGTATTAGAGAGTAGAGGGAGAGATATGATAAATATGGCATGTAGTACATTAAGTCAGAGCATGGAAGATTAATTGATGTAGACGTGCATCTTACCAGCACACACCAGACCAACATCACTGTCATGGGTGCAGTTGTGTTTGAGTGAAGATGATGTTGGACAGAAGTGAATCTGAGACTCGTTGCCTCTACACTGAAGCTCCTCTGACCACACCTGACCCTCCCCTCTGCCAAAAGCAGCTGCTCCCAGCACCTTCACAGGAAGCCCACAGTCCAGCTCTCGACACACAACCTCTGCATCCTGCTGGTCAAAGTCAGCATCACACACTGTGGACCAGGACTCTCCACGAAGCACCTCCACTCTCCCAGAGCAGTGAGAACCACCAACCAGCCTGACTCCTAATACATTTTAATGTGAAAACAGAGATTATGCCGCTTTTGATAAAGTGTATAATACAATAAATAAAAAATATATATATTTCATTAAATTATACAATAGGTGTGCATGTTTTCCCAAAAACATACAGTTCTAAAGAAAAAAATACATTAGACAAATTTTATTTTAAAGCTTTAAGAAATGGAAGTGTGAAAATTTAATAACAATTTCAGAAATGCTGATGATCATTATTAAAAAGCATGCCAAATAGAGGCTATTAAATGAAATATTAATGGTAAAATTAATTAATATCTTTAAATAGATTATTGAAATTCAGAAAAGCCTACCTACACAGGAGACTCCAGCATCTTTAGAATGGTTACAGTTATGTTTACCCCATCCTACTGATCTACAGTTCTTCACTGTAGATTCTGATCCACTACAGCCCACATCATCCATCCAGATTGGTCCTGATCCTGGTCCAAAGTGAGCTCTACTCAGTGTATCTACAGCCTCTCCACAGCCCAGCTCTCTACACACCACTGCAGCATCACTGATATCCCAATTATCATCACACACTGTTCCCCACTGATCATCATGAAGAATCTCCACTCTCCCAGCACAGCGACTGCCACCATCCACCAACTTCACTGTCCCTGTACAACAGAAGGCAGAAAAGACAGATATTTATGCATGTGCCCGTAAATACCTGAAGAACAGGAAGGTTCGAAAGGTTTTTTCCCCACATCTCCAGTCATGAGATCCAAAGTGGAAGAAGCAACTGCAAATGCTACCAGAGATAATATAAAGTCTTTGATGGTGTTCAGACCAGTTCTGACTTTTTCAGATGTACAGATATGCAATACACATACCAGGCTAATTGAGCAATTATACATAAGTGAGAGTTTGTGCAACAACAAAATATGTGAGTGTTAATGAGGGCAATGAACAGATTATGCCAAAATGTAAGCTTCATAATTTAATCACTGCTCTGAAAAGCGATACAGAAAAGGAGGACAAGCACACAAAGGGAGACAGAGAGTGTGTGTGTGAGAGAGAGAGAGAGAGAGAGAGAGAGAGAGAGAGAGAGAGAGAGAGAGAGAGAGAGAGAGAGCGCAAAATGTAAACCATTAGTATATATCAAAACGAAATTGAAACTATAAACTGATTTCATACACAGGCTTCAACATGTATGTAAAGTTAAAGATAAATTAGAAAATAAGTGGCACATAATTTACTTAACAGAATTAATCTGTGTAACTGAAGTCGAACCAGTTATGGAACAGTAGCAGAGGGGAATAATCAGAGCCTTCTAGGCCTTCAGAGAAGGCCTATGATTTCTAGGAACCAAAAATGTATGCCTGTAATTTTTAGTTACCTTTTATTAAAAAACAGCATGCTTTTATTGAATCTCTGCCAGTATTACAGCACTGCTCTTATCACAAAATGTCATGGTAGACGTCCTGGAAATCCTAGATACATCACTGACTGAATTCAAGCAGCAGATTAAATCATGGGGTTGTTAGAAACAGAAAACAACGACAGCAGCTCTATATTGAGCTCACTACTAAAAGAGTCACTGCTACAAGACAAACATATAGTAATAGATCTGTCACAAGCTTCAAGTAAAATATATAAATGTCTTTTTTAAGCTTCAAATGTCTGCTTAATCTAGAACTATCTTTTTGACCTTTATCTCCTATCTTAAATGGTACAGCAGTTACATTCTGCCACCAATTAATTTTATGTTCCATTTTAAATGGAGCAGCAGTCACATTCAGGTGCCAAAATTCAGAGTATTTATGGAAGAAAGTAGTGTTGGAAAATGATTAAAGGAAAAGAAAGGGACATAACAAGTATTACGGATGGTTAAAAAAGTGAGCAATGAAGTGATGAACAACGCAAAGGAGATTAGAATTTGGCAGTTAGTGTAATATACATATTCTGCAGTTGGTTTATTCTCTACATAAAATAAGTCACAATTCTGCAAAAATAAAATGATCCTGGTTATGGGCCTGTTTATGCATAGAGAAACACAGAATATGACAGAATAAGTATGTGCTAAACATCATAATGAACACATCAGTCAGAGAATACAATACCAATTAGTGAAGATGTCCTTCTTACCAGCACACACCAGACCAACATCACTGTCATGGGAGCAGTTATGTTTGAGTGAAGATGATGTTGGACAGAAGTATATCTGAGATTCATTGCCTCTACACTGAAGCTCCTCTGACCACACCTGACCCTCCCCTCTGCCAAAAGCAGCTGCTCCCAGCACCTCCACAGGAAGCCCACAGCCCAGCTCTCGACACACAACCTCTGCATCCTGCTGGTCAAAGTCAGCATCACACACTGTGGACCAGGTCTCTCCATGAAGCATCTCCAGTCTCCCAGAGCACAGATGAGGACCATCAACCAGCCTGACTCCTCCTAAAATAATAGCATGAGAGAATAGGTATTATGCAGTACTTTTGATTAGTGGTATAATGCTGTTAACATGAGTTTATTTTGTTGAAAAGTACAAAAGCATTGGATTTTTTTTCCAGATACATGAATGTTTTAAGAAACACAAGCAGGCAAAAGCAATGCCAATTTCTGAAAAGCTAATGAGGATGAAAAAGAAAGTTAAATGCATGCTATCCAATGAAATATGAAAGTTGATCTCATTAAATAGAACACTGAAATTCAGTAAGGCCTACCTGAACAGATTACTCCAGCATGTGGACCATGATTACAGTAAAGTTCACCCCATCCTGCTGATCTACACTTCTTCAGTGTGGACTCTGATCCACTACACTGTACATAATTCATCCAGGTTGGTCCTGATCCTGGTCCAAAGTGGCTCTACTCAGTGCATCTACAGCCTCTCCACAGCGCAGCTCTCTACACACCACTGCAGCATCACTCATATCCCAGTTAACACCACACACTGTTCCCCACTGTCCTCTATGAAGAACCTCCACTCTCCCAGCACAGCGACTGCCACTATCCACCAACCTCACACTGTCTGTACAACAGAAGGTGGAAGAGACAGATACTTATGCATATAGATACACAGAATATGATAGAAAGTATGTGTTAAACATCATATGCAGCACATAAGTAACAGAATGTAACACTAATTTGTGAAGGTGTCCTTCTTACCAGCACACACCAATCCCAAATCACTGTCATGAGAGCAGTTGTGTTTGAGTGAAGATGATATTGGACAGAAATTAATCTGAGATTCGTTGCCTCTGCACTGAAGCTCCTCTGACCACACCTGACCCTCCCCTCTGCCAAAAGCAGCTGCTCCCAGCACCTTCACAGGAAGCCCACAGCCCAGCTCTCGACACACAACCTCTGCATCCTGCTGGTCAAAGTCAGCATCACACACTGTGGACCAGGTCTCTCCATTAAGCACCTCCACTCTCCCAGAACAGTGAGAACCACCAACCAGCCTGACTCCTAAAATGTTAGAATAAGAGAATAGAGATCACAGAACACATATGTTTATAATTGATAACAAAAAGTTTATAAATATCTATTTTTGTAAAATATCACAGAGAATTTCACTAACACTTGGTAAAAATGGAAATTTTATTTAAATCACAGGTATTTCCAAATGAACAAAACAGAACAAATATTTAAATAAATTTTATAAAATTGAGGTTTTGGCCTATGCTACACTTTAAAACACTATAAAATTCTTAATCATTATTGTAATTTTTGTCCTCTCACATTGCTTGAAATACATTTTACATATGTTTTGGGAACATGTTTATATTGCAGAATTTTGGAAATTTGTTAAAGACCACCCTCCAGTCAGGCAGTCTTTTATAAGCTATAAGACACTTCATGAGCGAAATAAGTGTTCAACACCATGACTGAGTGCTGCGCTGCACAAGTGACAGTATCAAAAAAACATGGATTCAGACAGCCTGGCTTTCATATGCCACAAAGCTAAGGAACCAATTCTGTCCACTGATGGGGTAAAGCTTTCCATATTATAAGCATAATGATACAGTGGAATGAGGTGTATCAGAATCAGGTGTAGCTAAATCAATGACGGAGACGTGTTCTGTTTTCAGATGCAAAGTTAAATGAGAAAATGTGAGCCTTCTTATGTTACAGAAAGATCTGAAAATCAAAGAAAAATGGGTGCAGTTTATTTGGAAAAATCAGACTCCCCCTAGCCAAACTTCCAGAGAAAACTTGGATTTGCAGTAGCCATTTAACAGAGGACTATTTTGTAAATTTTACTCATAAGCAGATGGGGTTTGCCACTGAATTTATATTGAAGCCAAATGCTGTTCCATCCATTTATCATAGCAAGTACGTGCCAGCCAGTAAGTTTATTTATTTTGTGTTTTGTCCATTGACTGTGTACAACAAATATACAAAGCTGAAATCAGCTTCTTATTCGCCAACTTCTTGTTCTCAATTTTTCCGTTACACCTTATATGGTGCAGCAGTTACAGGAAAATTCTAATAAGATGGCCTTAGGTACCAGAAAGAAATTGCTGCACCATTTAAGGTGGAACGGGGAAAAAATTCATACAAGAAGCTGGCGAATGAGAAGCTGACTTCTGCCTCTAACATATCTGCAATGTGCTAGATAATGTTACAAGACATTGTCTTTACAAGGTACATGTACATTTTATACAGCTTGTGATGTTGACGAAAAAAGTTAGGGCAAACGTTACTCAAAGATTTCATCAGAAAGGTAAGCTTGCTGAATTAGATGATGGCTATGTTCATTATGATCATTCTGACAAAAAAAAAAATGACTGTTGTTGTTCATGAAGAAAGCATGTCATAATGAAGGTCGCACTCATAAGCTGCTAGTATAGCGTTAGCAAGATAAGATTAGCTAAGACAAGTGCATATGGAATGTAGAGAAAGACGCTTTCTAGCAGAAAGCACCGAAGGCAAACTTCTGTTTGCATATTCACAGATATGTGCAAACGGAATGAAGGCAAAAATGTAGATACATCTAAGAAACTTTTAAGGCATTATTCTTGGAACTTCAAAATATGTAATTTTTATGAACAGAGATGAGACTTTAGGGGTTTCATTAATGCCTGGAGAGGGTCTTTATCTGGGATAATTCATGACTCAAACCTGTGCTTGTGCCTTATAAATGATATTTCAACTTTTATACTTAATCAGTGTAGATTAATATGTGCTGGCTTACAGCTGCTCAAAAGACAATCCTGCAACTACAGTACACTCCTAGTCCTTTTTTATGTATTAACTGAAAACTACACTCTAAAAAATGGCTCATCAGATCTACCTTAAAAAATTACTTCATGTGGTAACAAGTAAATTAACTAGTTTTATTCAACCTAAATAAATACTTTGAATGAATAATTTGTTCAGTCAATGTAATTTTTTGAGTTGAATAAAACTAGCTCAATTGCTTGTTACTACATGAAGTAATTTTTTAGGTAGATCTGATGAGCCATTTTTTAGAGTGTTACTTTAGTAAATTAGTATATTTAGAATTACTTGATTAAATAAAGCACATCCAACCTCTTCTTGTCTTTTCTTTTGTTTTCTGTTTTTCCTCTCCACTACTTTAATTTTTCTTTTATTGTCTCTTTTTGATAACATATTGTGTTGCACTGTGATTCTGCCCACTGTTGTGTAAAATACAACAATAATAAATAAATAAAAATTATTATTATTATTTTTTTTTTAAATAAGAAGATGTTCACAGTTCCAACACGTTTAATGATCGTAGAGTCAAAACTCTTACCTAATGCTTTTCTGACCTGAATTCAATCAACAGTTTATTGGTGGACTGTTTATAAGAGCACTGCACTGAAGATTACCTGAACAAATGACTCCAGCATCTTGATTATGACCACAATCATTTTCACCCCATCCTGCTGATCTACACTTCTTCAGTGTGGACTCTGATCCACTACAGCCCACATTATTCATCCAGATTGGTCCTGAACCTGGACCAAAGTGAGCATCACTCAGAGCATCTACAGCCTCTCCACAGTGCAGCTCTCTACACACCACTGCAGCATCACTCACATCCCAGTTATAATCACACACTGTTCCCCACTGTCCTCTATTCAGAACCTCCACTCTCCCAGCACAGCGTCTGCCACCATCCACCAACCTCACACTGTCTGTACAACAGAGGGCAGAAAAAACACATTTTATGCACAGAGATACACAGAATAAGAAAGTATGAGTTAACATCAAATGCAGCACATCAGTCAAAGAATTGAACTCTAATTAGTGAAGATGTCCTTACCAGCACATACCAGACCCACATCACTGTCATGGGAGCAGTTGTGTTTGAGTAAAGATGATGTTGGACAAAGATGAATCTGAGATTCGTTGCCTCTACACTGAAGCTCCTCTGACCACACCTGACCCTCCCCTCTGCCAAAAGCAGCTGCTCCCAGCACCTTCACAGGAAGTCCACAGCCCAGCTCTCGACACACAACCTCTGCATCCTGCTGGTCAAAGTCAGCATCACACACTGTGGACCAGGTCTCTCCATGAAGCACCTCCACTCTCCCAGAGCACAGATGAGGACCACCAACGAGCCTGACCTCTAAATATTAGCATGAGAAAACAGAGATCACACAACATGAATGTTCATAGATAACAGTGAAGTGTTTAAAATATCTTTTTTTAATGTGGCAGAAGTTCTCAATATTTATTTTCACCAATACTCACATAAAATCAAAATTCATCATACCATATAATAATCATATGTTTTTCCAAATGAATAAAACATAACTTGTAGGGGACCAAAAGTGAGTGAACGATTTCAGTCTATTTTTCAATAGATTTGATCGCTTACCTCCCCCTACATAGTTACCCCTGCTGCAACCCCCCTCTTCTACACTCCCAGTGTACTGCCCTGCCCCCTCTCCCACATTCACCCCCCTCTCCTCAACTCCCACCTCACAGCCACCCCCCACTGGTTTTCCTGCTGTCAGCCCAACCATGCTACCTGTGCACTCCAGCACTCAGCCCCCTGTTCCAATCTGTGCCTTACAACAGCTCAGGTGAGAAAGGAGCTCAGAAAGATCAAAGTGAGGAAAGCTGTGGGTCCGGATGGCATCGGTGCCAGTCTCCTTAAGTCCTGCACAGATCAGCTGTGTGGAATAGTTGAACAAATCCTGAACCTAAGGAGAGCACCACAACTGTGGAAAACATCTTGTGTGGTGCCGGTGCCGAAAATGCAGCACCCAAAGGATCTCAGCAGCTACAGGCACTGTGGCACAGTGGCACTGATGTCACACCTGATCAAGATGTGCATCTGACATGGTGGCACCATTCCTTTTCACCCTGTACACTGCAGCCTTCATGTCCAGCTCACCGTACAGAGGTTCTCTGATGACTGATGACGATTGTCTGCCTCATTACAGATGAAGACGACAGAGAGTGCAAAGAACTGACCCATTTGGACTTTGTGGACTGGTGTCTGAGGAACCACTTCCTGATCAATAGAGGGAAGACCAAAGAGGTGGTGGTGGATTTCCGCAGGCGCAGACACCCCCTTCCACCAGTAAAGATCCAGGGAACAGACATTGAGAGAGTGGACTTGTAAGTACCTGGGTTTTCACCTCAACTATAGACTGGACTGCTCAGATAACAGTAGTGCACTTTACAGGAAAGGCCAGAGCAGACTCTACCTGCTCAGGAGACTGAGGTCGTTTGGAATACAGGGGGCACTCCTGAGGACTTTTTTCAACACTGTGGTGGCATCAGCATATGGAGTGGTCTGCTGGGGCAGCCTGCATCTCAACTGCGAAAAAGAAGAGACTTGACAGACTCATAGAGAGGGCCCGCTCTGTCCTGAGAAGCCCCCTAGACCCAGTGCAGGTGGTGGGAGACAGGAGGATGTTAGCCAGACTAGTATCCATTCTAGAGAACAGCTCTCACCCCATGCATGAGACTCTGACAGCACTGGGCAGCTCCTTCAGTGACAGGCTGCTTCACCCCAAGTGTGTGAAGGAGCACTAACACAGGTCCTTCCTTCGTACTGCTGTTAGACTGTACAACTAGCACTGCTTCCAGTAGAACCTCCCACCCCCCATTAGACTTCACACACCTACAGCACATAAACAGTGAATTCATTACCATTTCCTGTGTGCAATATAATCAATATTCCATGTGCAATACATGTAAAATATTTCTATAGTATGTATATAGTCTTGCTTTTCTATTTATAATGTTTATATTGTTAATTCATCACCATTGTCACATGTAATATAATCAATACTTCATGTGCAATTCCCCATGTGCAATAGTCCATGTGCAATTCGGGTAAAATATCCTTACAGTGTATATATTTTTTGCTTTTTTATGTACAATTAAGTTGGTGCAATTAAAAGTCAATTTACTGTTCTTTGTAATCTTCATCTTATTATTATTATTCTACGCTCAAAAAATAAAATGTTTTTTGTCCCACAGATTTCAAACTAGAACCACAAAACTTTGCAGGATCATAGGACCTATACCCGATTAGGTTGCTTGGGCTTTTCAAGCAATCCAACGTATGGGTTTCATAAAATTATCGTTCAAAGATGTTTATATTTTTTTCCGTAAGAAATGAATGGCGGAATGTTCGGGACCTTTAAATCTAACTGCCACAAGTGATGCCACAATGAACATCTCACACAGACAGTCATACACAGCACATACAGACTAACATGCTCGCAGCCTAATGCACAGCAGTATCAGCACAAATACTGAATGTAAGATGGCATGGTTTTTACGGTAGCACTGAATTTAAGGTGGAATTCCGTTCAAGGTAGCATTGAATTTAAGGTATCAGTAAATTTAAAGTGGCACTGAGTTTAAGCTGAAATTGCATTTAAGGCCAATCTGAAATTAAGGTGGCACTGCATTTAAAGTGGCACTGAATTTAAGGTGGAATTGCAGGTAACACTGAAGTTAAGGAGCCGTGAATATAATGTAACAGTAAATTTAAGGTGGCAGTGATTTTAAGGTGAAATTGCATTTAAGGTAGCACTGAATTTAAGCAGGAACTGCATTTAAGGTGGCAGTGAATTTAAGGTATCAAATTTAAGGTAGTGGCAAATTTAAGGTAGCACTGTGTTTAAGGTAGCATTGAATTTAAAATGGAGCTGTATTTTAGGTGGAACTGAAGTTGAGATGAAATTGCTTTTAAGGTAGCACTAAATTTAATGTATGAATAAATTTAAGGTGCCAGTGAATTTAAGAGGCACTGCATTTAAGGTGGCACTGCATTTAAAGTAGCACTGAATTTCAAGTGGCACTGTGGCACTGCATTTAAGGTGGCAGCAAATTTAAGGCAGCAGTGAATTTAAGGCAGAACTACATTTAAGGTAGCACTGAATTTACGGTGGAATTGCATTTAAGGTAGCACTGAATTTAAGGTGGACGAAAATTTAAGGTGCCACTGCATTTAAGGTGGCACTGAATTTAAGGTGGAATTGCATTTAACATAGCATTGAATTCAAGGTGTCAGTGAATCTAAGGTATCATTGAATTTAAGGTGGCACTGCATTTAAGGTAGCACTGAGTTTAAGGTGGAATTACATTTAAGCACTGAATTTCACGTTTCAGTAAATTTAAAGGTGGAACTGAATTTAAGGTAGCATTGAATTTAAGGTGGTAGTGAATGTAAGGTGGCACTGCATTTAAGGTATCAGTAAATTTAAGGTGGAACTGAATTCAAGTTGGCACTGCATTTAAGGTGGCACTGGATTTAAGTTGGCACTGAATTTAAGGTGTCAAATTTGAGGTGAAACTGAATTTAAGTTACCACTGCATTTATGGTGAATTTAAGGTGGCAGTAAATTTAAGGTATCAAATTTAAGTTGGCACTGAATAGGCTCTATGCACACTCTTTTTCCGCATTCCGAGTCAGCCAGCTGTTTCACTTCCGGCGCTCGTATCCATCACATTGGCTAAGGAATTTTTCACTCAGTCGCTTCAAGACTTACCTGGACTTACGGCCATGAAGGTAAGATCCGGCCGTGTAATCATAGCCCTTACAATGTTCTAATGTGCTAATGTTCTGTGTCTGTGTGTCAGTCACTGCTAAAATTTTTCTAACGTTATTGTCGATCTCAGTTTCAAACAAGGATTCAAAGACAGGAGAGATCAACATTAGGGCTGAGAGTTAGAGATCAATGAGCGTAAGGGAAAGTTATCCTGGTTCGTGAGACAAGGTCCTGTGTTTCTGTGAATCATATCAATGCAATGAATCCAATACTGCTAAAGGCTACTTTAGTTCATATTTCATATGATATTCTATGAATAATACTAGTGTGTAAAATCTGTAAAAACAATGGGATTCACAGAAACTAGATTGGGTTGTCACTTCTTTTCCATTGTATTATGTTGTGCTCCTTGTTATTTTAAATGAGTCAAGTGTGATTAATAATGATTTGACAACAATTTTAGCCTTTATACATTTAGTGTATATGAAATGTTTCATATTTGTTTTTGTTTTTTCAGACCTTCTCACTGTACTCATGTGTTCTCCTTTATAATAAAAGCTGTTTGAACTATAACTGAGCTAACAGAACTAACTGAACTAGGGAAAGTCATCCTGCGCCATCAGTGCAGGCTGGTTCGTGAGACGGGTTCCTGTTCGCCAAATCAAGTTTCTGTGAATCATATCAATGCTGTGAATCTAATACTGCTAACCCTGTAGTCATTCTCCTTTATAATAAAAATTCACTCATTTATTGTTTAGAAATAACATTTTATTGTTTAACTGCACTTGCAGCACTTACAGTATGTATTGTAACAGATTTGTGTATTTTTACAGATTGTGCTTCCCATCCTGTGCAGCTACAAAGCTGCCAGTGTACCTGTGTGGCAGCTTTGTGCAACCATGTGGCAGCACTTTTGTACCAGACTGCACATTATTCAGACCTGAAGCCCACCTCTGTTCCCCCAAAAACTGACCTTTCCTTTTTTTATTGTTATCTCTGTACATCTCGTGATAAATAGATTGAAAGAGAACTTCTTGAAACTAAGCTTAATTAATTGTAAAAAGTGACAAATTCTATTTACTGTTCATTGTAAATAGTAGAAATTAAAATTTTATCATTTCATTCATTTATTAGAGCTCAGTAAGTTACAGCTGTTACATCAATGAATTCTGTTAGGCATTGCATTTCATAATTGTAAACATGCCTTGAGAGTTTTTATAATTTCAAAGTGGTATCCATATACAATTTAAACTTGTTTTATTATTATTATTATTTATTATTATTGTTGTACAAATGTCATTTGTATATGTATGTAACAATTTTATATAGGAAATGATTAACAGTGTAATAAAGATACATGACTAGCATTGGAGTGTTTTTGTTGTCTTGTGTAAACTATGGTGATGGTTTAGAGGAATGTAGGGGAGCAGGACTGACAGGTAGGTGGCCAAAAAAACTGAGTAATAGTTAAATTGAATTTATTACAATAAATCAGTTTTCAATAATGAACAATATTAAACAAATTGAATGTAAGTATATACAGATAATTGCTATTTACAAGATTTACATTTTGTCTTCAAGACAATATACATCCTCTAATAGGCTTTTTTGGGGTTGGAGGTGGTAGGGGGCTAACACTTCTTCCATGTTCAAAAAAGCCCAGCAGAGATGTCACATTGGATAACATCAGCTGACTAAATGTAAATGCAGCACATCACAGGTTCCCAACCCTGGTCCTTCAGGACCCTTGCCCTACAAATTTTAGTATTTTCTCTGTTCCAAACACACCCACTTCAAGTGATGAAGGGTTTGTTAATTAGCTGATTGTTTGGATCAGGTGTGTTGAGAGCAGGGGAAACAGTAATAATATGTGCAGTACAGGGGGTTCTCCAGGACAAAGGTTGGGAACCACTGTAATGTATAAGTGCTATTCTGGCTTCTTTGCCCAAGCCTTTAAAAGAGGCCTGTTTTCATAGTTTGTCAGGAGACATGCAACAGTGTACAGCTGA